TTCATCAACAGGAAGTCAGTGATTCGTTCATCAACAGGAAGTCAGTGATGAATTTAAGAAAGTCATGACTGATTGTGATGAAAACCAGAATTTCAAAGATTACTCATCAGAGACAAAAGGATCAACAGCAGGTTCAGTAAAAACCTTGAGGACAAGTTCAGCTGAGTCCGGTCCACTCTTGGAACTGGTTCCTTCCCCCAGGTAATCAAACCTGTCTAATATACAATGACATGCAGCGGTCACTGAGCCGTTTGTCCAGGTGGCACCTTTTGGAGTCTGTAGCGGAAGCGTACGTCAGCGCTGGGCCACAGGATTCCCAGTCCGGCCCTGCTGGGGTCCGGAGCCACTCCGTCCTGACCCTCCTCCAGCTGCAGGTCGAAGTGGAGCAGCACGAGACACAGGAACTGTTTGATCTCGTAGAGAGCAAAGTATCGTCCGGGACACTTGGAGGTGCCGGAGCCAAACGGCATGAGGTAATACTTCAGCTTCTGACCGTCCTTGTAGAAGTTCGTCTTCTCTTTGCCGTCCTGCATGAAGCGATCAAACCGGTACGTCTTACAGAAAGAGAGACAAGAGGGTGTGTCATCCAAACAGCTCAAGCACAAACAGGTCGGACTCAGACTTCATCTGGTTCATTCACGATGATCAAGGCAACAGGCCGATATTAAGAATTTATAGTGATTTAAAAAACAAAGATAATGTTTAAATAAGATCTTATGAAATATGTATATTAAATATCAACTTCTACTGATTGTGATGATATGTTTATTGATAAGTGATCGGTACCTCCGGCTCCTCGTAGATCTCAGGGTCCATGTGTATCATCTGAGGGTACAAAGCCACAATATCTCCTTTTCTAACGGCCACCGAGCGCTCGTCGTTCAGCCGCAGACTGAAGTCATCCATCGCCACACGGACGTTCATGGAGGCAGAGGACAGACGGAGACTCTCCTTGACGGCGCTGTCTGTGGAGGAAGGTCAGTTCCGTGGTTACCATCGGCTGAGAGTTTGACTTCCTGGCAACGTTTCAGGGTTTTAGATTTTTTTAACAGTGCTGAAACATCAATCAGCCTGTCAGTGGGTGAGACGACAACATGAAGACAAAACATCGTACCCAGACAGACGAGTCTGTCCAGCTGCTCTTTGGTGAGCGTCACGTCTCTGTCGCTGCTGAACTCCACGCCGCTCTGTGACAGGACGTCCAGCAGCTCCTGACGGATGACCTCCATCACCTCCGGGTGAGTCATCAGGTGGAACAGCGCCCAGAAGGTGGCGGGGACAGTGTTCGCCACTGACGCCCACAGGATGGCAAAGCTGTGGCCTGAAAGATACAGAAGGTCATAACTCACCCCCGACTCACCCATAGCTCACTCTCAACTCACCCCCGACTCACCCATGACTCACCTATAACTCACTCTCAGCTTACTTGATTAGTTATTGATGATTGACTTGATTGATTTGATTAGTTATTGATGATTGACTTGATTAGTTATTGATGATTGACTTGATTAGTTATTGATGATTGATTTGATTAGTTATTGATGATTGACTTGATTGATTTGATTAGTTATTGATGATTGATTTGATTAGTTATTGATGATTGACTTGATTAGTTATTGATGATTGACTTGATTAGTTATTGATGATTG